GTGGGCGACGACTGGGTTTGGGTAAAAGCCTTGAGGAGGAGAGAGGAAGGAAGGCTTGCGGGGCGGTTGCGGGGAACCGGTCTAAGAATGACATGAGGATTAAGGGGAGAAAGGGTGCGAAGGCAGGAGACTAGCCAGCCTAGGAGGTAGAAAGGAGGCAGGAACCAGGGAGGGTGTTAAGGAAGCCGGGCAAGGAACGAGGTTAGGAAGACCCGGGTTTGGAAGAGGCATCCTGGGCTTAGGTGTAAGAGCAAGGGTTTGAAGGGGAAAGCTTTGCAGAGGATGGTGGTGGGGTGATGGGTGCTGAGGTTAGAGTTGGAAGTGGGAGGCGAGGAGAGGCAGGGCTGCGAGGAGAGGCAGGGCTGGGGTAGTAGTTGGGAGCAGAGGAGAGAGAGTGATTAAGAGCCAGACGTGACGAGGGTGTGAACTAGTGCAGAGCGAGATGAGCTGAAGGACCAGGACTGGCGGTGGGTGGGAACTGTGAGGTTCTAAGAAAGGTAACGGGTTAGTGGTGGGCAATGGGTGTAAATTCTCGAAAGTGCAAGAGGGTGAATGAAACACTGGACTAGTACCAGGTGGAGTTAGGAATAAGAGCGTAGTGGAAGGGTGCAAGGACACAGAGATGAGAGCTAGGGCGTTTATAGGACAACTCGGGGACCAGAAAGGCTGAAAGAAAAGAGAGGACGGGAGTAAGAAGTGATGGCGGTGTGGGACAGGGTAATTGCGGGATGGTGCTAATTGTTGAGGTTCAGCAAGATCCGAGGTGAAAATAGTGAAGAGATGGGGCTGAGAGCGGAGGGTGAGAGGAGCAAGGCAGAGAAGGGCCCGGGATGTAAATGATGAGAAGGGGAGTAAGGGAAGAGAACAGGTTCAGGAAAACCAGAGGCATCCTGATGAATGCAGACCTGGGGTATGGTGCCGAGGCGGGGAGTCAGGTGTGCATGTTGGGGGGAGAGACTCCAGAAGGGCTGCCTGGGTCAGGGCACAGAGGCCGCAGGGAAGGATCGAGTGTAGGGAGCCTTTGGTGCAGAAGAGGAGGAACCATGGTGAGTGAAAAGAGACCCAGAGGTAGGGGTAAAAACTAAGTCGAGTGGGGAGGAGTTCTTTGTCGAGAAGAGAACTGTGTTGAAACTGTCTCGAGTCCTTTTGTCCATAAAAGTAGGAAATTTCAGAAACCTCTTTCTCTCTCCAAGGAATTTTGAATCTGCTTCTACCTTTCATTGTTTTTAATTGGACTTATGTCCACTTTGAAGAGATGAGACTCATTTGATTCGACACTGTTCTTGTCTGAATGATAAAGCATCAACTCGGTGCTGAAAACCTCTGCATTTCACCGGGGTTGTGATCTTGGGAAAACGGGGTGCATTTTTTTTTTAACAGGGTGCCTGTGCCTGTGTGATGTGATCGTGCTGTGTTGTACCTGACTGGCACTGGGCAAGCAGAGCGCTTTATCCACAGCATTTTCATTTTCAGTGGCGAGCCCACTGTTCGTGAGATACAGATGAAGATCTTTTTGTTTTGATAAATAACCAGATTTCCACCTAGCTGTGTTTGGTGGCTGGAGAATACTGAAAAATCATTTCAGAAAAAGGCAAATGACCAACCAGGGAAGTTTGCCGAGGAAGAGATTTAAATCAGGGCAGTGAGGGCTTTGAGTTCCTGAGCTGCCTTTAGCTTTGTGTGGGACATTTCATAGTGTAGCATCCATTTAGCAAAATCAAATAAAGAAAGGGAGATTTGTAGAGTAGTGGAGGATTTTGGAGTGGGACTTACCTTTTTGGTTAAATAATGAATTTATGAGTAATTTTTATCATGGAGAAAACTTCTGTAATATAATGCAAGCTGGAGCCTTGGACAGCTCACTGCCTCTCCTATTTTGTAGGTGTGAATAAAGAAAGACAATATTAATATTAACTTTACAGAAGATTTTTATTTTTAAGACACTTTGGAAAATTAAAGGAAGATAAGAAATTTGGGACAAAATGTAGGTTATTCTTACTGAGTATCTGGATGATTTTTAGTCTGAAGGTCTTACATTTAGCTAAGAATATGAATGATTATACTTAATGGTGCTAAAGGATAGACTATAATTTACTTTAGAAAGTGCAAACTGTTCTTGAGAATCTTATTTGAGGTTATTTCATTAGTATACATTGAGATACACAAAGAATTTTTTCAAAGGCAGGTAAAGTTTTTGGAGTACTACTGTTTTGTGGGTGTTTGTGGAAAAGCAAAGATTGGGTTAAAGGCATTTGTAATAGCAACGATTCAATTTTGATTTGTGGATATTAAAAACATTGGTTGTTAATATATATAAATAACTTAGAATCTTAAATCTTTCTGAATTCAGCTGCTAACTATTCATGGATTTTGGATTCTGTTAAGCAGGTGTTCAAGGTGACTAGATTGATTTAGCACTTTAACAGAATTTCAAAAAATTACTGTTTTTGCTGCTAAGTTTCAAGAAGATTAATCTTAAATATTAACTTTCAAGCTGAAGAGTATGAGGTGTGTGTTTCTGTGAGATGTGTGTGTGAGAATTTCCTTCTTTACAGATGTGTTTGGGCTGGAATTGCTAGTAAAATGGTATTGCCATTTTAATAATGTAATTGTTTTATACTTGTGTTCTTACATAAATTATTTTAGACTTAATAATCTTGATAAAGAAGAAAATATAAGGTATAAGAACCACCAAGGAGAGGAGTCTGGCTCAGTCCTGTCTTTTGTTTCTGTCTGCTGCCATAGTGTGCTAAATCATCAATTCTCTGTGAATGGTTATTTCTTACTTGACACTCCTAAAACTGAAAATGGATAATCTTTTAGTTCAGCTGCTACTATTTATCAGTAATAATTCTGGTGATAAATTTAAGCTTTATTTCATTTGTTCATCAAGTAGAATTCTATTCAAGTTAACTTTATTTTGTTTATACTCGTATTTGCTAAGCAAAAACTTTTAAGCTTATTCAGATTTGAATAAGTAGGTTGTACATAATTAAATGTCTTTCTGGTTAATTGTAGATTCTTTGGATGGGACGAAAACTTGAAAGGACCTCTAGTTTATCCAGCAACTTCAGTCAATATCCCACTTAAATCATTCCAGGTAGATAAAAATTTATTCTATTTTCATAAATCTTCATAGGTACTGTGGCAGCCTTTGTAGATAATCTTTTCCAGCATTTAATTATATTCTCTATAAGGAGAGTCTGCTTTCTATCTAACCAGCACATACTTAATATTATATTTACATTTGTTCTCTGGCCCCATTCTCGATTTTTGAGTAAAAAGATCTGCTTATTAAAGTATTAAGAAGATGCTAGTTCTTCATAAACTTAATAATTGTAGCTGCCATCTATAGTGTTTCTGTGTCAGACATGGTTGTACACTCTTCATAGATTATAACTCATTTACTCCTCACATCAGTTCTATGAGATTGGCACTGTTCCTGTTCCCATTTTACAGGTGAAGAAATAGAGGCTCCCTGAGATTAAGTGATTTGCCCAAGGTTATACTCAGATAATCTTTTAGTACAAGTAACATTTGGAGTTTTTCTTTTGCCAAGAAGTAACTAAATGATACAGTTAATCTTTTTTTTAAAATAGTTTATAAGGGAAATTTCTACCAAGTGGTGGGGGATAGGATTCCAACGTTGGCATTTTGCTGGCAAAGTGTGTGCTCTGATTCATTGTGCTTTGTCTCTACTGACGGTTGTGAAGTTATCCTTTACCGTGCTCTTCCCCAGATTAAACAGTGCTGGTTTATTTTAATCCCTTAATGTGTCTTGTTCGCCAATCCTTAAATTATCCCTTTGGTTCTGCTATTAACTGTTTCTCAGGTCCTTTCTAGATGGGGAACCTGAGACAAACACCCTAAGGGTTATATCTAATGCAAAGATTACATCAAGGTTCTTAACATACTCCTAATTTTTCATTATAAACTTGTTTTTATAAGACAAAATGACTCAAAAACAATAAAAAAAATGCCTAATAGCATTGCGGATTAATGGTTACCTGTTCATATTTTTAGCTAGAAAAGGGCCCTGGACTTGTTATATATCCTACAGGTTTGTAGTTATAAGATTGTTGCCATTGAAGAAAAATGGAACTCAGAATTCAATGCAGATATCCCTAAGCAATATCTTGTCAGACTCTTGCTGACTTTTTACTATCATCTGTTTGTTTGCCTGTATAGATAATATACTAAGTACATTTATGCATGCTTTAATTTGGTTAAGTAAAATGATGCATTCATTTTTATAAAATTAAAACTTTATTATTTTTTTAATTTTTTTATCTTCACCCAAGGATATGTTTATTGACTTTTATTTTATTTTTTATTTTTTTATTTTTTATTTTTTGGAGAGAGAGAGAGAGAAACATCAATTGGTTGCCTTGTATGTGCCCTGCCCAGGGATCGAACCTGCAATCTAGGAATGAGTCCTGACCAGGAATCAAACCCGCAACCTTCTTTGGTGTGTGGGACAATGCTCCAATCAACTGAGCCACCCAGCCAGGGCAAGACTATCTTTTTAGAGCAGTTTTAGGTTCACAGCAAAATTGAGGGAAAGGTATAGAGATTTACTATTTACCCTCTGCCCGCACACATGCATAGCCTCCCCCATTATCAGCATCCCCCACCCAGTGATTCATTTGGTACAAATGATCCATTCTTTTAAAAAGACACCTAATAATTAGTGTTTACTAAGTGCCTAGCATGAGCTAAGTTGTCAACTGGTTGAAACTTGACAAGCCTATTAGAGAATATGTGTGGTTAATAACTTGATTTTTTTGGGTGACTTTTAAATTTTTTTTTAATGTTTTAGACTTACAGAAAAGTTACAAAAATGGTACAGGGAACTTCTGTATACCCTTATTTAAAATCACCAGTTGTTTTCGTTTTATCTCACTTGGGTATTTCTAAACAAGTAAATTTTAAAATGAAATGGATATGAAGGCCTTAATATTTAAAAGAGAAGGGGAAGAATGTCTTGAGTGTACCAGCAAGTTGGTATGAATTTTATTTTAGTCAAGCATGTGAAGCAAAGGAATCAGAGTGGATTTTGTGCTATTATGGTTTGTTTTCTTCATTCTATTTGGAAAAACATTATTTTACCTATGAATGATGAGTTTGTTGGCCCCTCCCACATCAGTAAAAACTGTCATGGTGTACCCCTCTGTTGGGGACCTGGCATGGTGTGCTCACACATGAGTGGGTCCTCAGGATTTGCTAAGTATTGGTGATGTATGGGAGGTTATTATGTGAAAACAGGAGCCACAGGGCTGTTCAACACCATGCCTAAGATGTATTCTGAAGATCCTTTTGTAGCTTCTAGGAGATGGAAAAGATCTAAGTGGAAAATGTATAAGACCATTGGTTGCAATTCATACATAGGTTTGCCTTATGGTAAGGAAATGAGTAGAAATATTGTAACATTCTATTATCTCCCCCCAAATAACCTAAATTTTGGGTGTCTTTTCAGCTGTCATATAAGGAGATTTAATTGACCCCATCTCCACTGCCACCTTCCCGGTCATTCTCAGTCTTTATTGTTAAAATGGTAGCTTGTCCTTTTGGTAAAGAAATGTCCTGCAGAATGAGCCCTGTCTGATATTAGTGAAAGGACTATTAGCTGTATTCTGACAGATGTAAAATACAGCACTTGTAAGCCTTTTTTCCTTTCCCCCATTTTAAGTGATCATCAAACTGATGAAATATAGCTTCTTATTACAGTTGATTGTAATAATTAAAAACACTTTGCTTTCATAAGGTGATAAAATTACAAATTATTTGGAAAGCATTCTTCCCAGTCAGACATTATTGTTTCTGAGGCATGGGCAGTTTTTAAAGACTATAATACTGTTCCTTTGCCATTTACATGTTAATGGAAGTCTGAAAAGTAAGGTGCTCTTCTGAAATGTGCAGGGTTGTTTTTATTGTGTGTCATGTTGTAAACGGCATCCTGTGACAGGTATTTTCTCTCTTTGTCTTCTACTGAGCTAATTAGTAATTTACACTCTAGTAGCATCTCTTCCAGTCTCCCTGTGTGAGAACGCCTGCCACTCTGTGCCTTCCGTGCAGCATGGCTGGCAAGTGACTGGGGGCAGATGTTGGTTAGCACATCAGCAGGATCAAGGCTAAAATTTATTTTTGTGTTTTTAATAAATGCAGGCTTTTGTATATGTCCCTTCCCTGCACCTTCCCCTCCCCCCACATTTAAGTAGGAGTGTTATGACCTGTAATCCAGAGCAAGTCCTTGATTCAACTTTGGACTTTTCTATTCTGTCCCCACCCCCACCCCAACGTTGTGGGATTTGGGGAGGATTAGCAGAACAGTCTGGCATAGTTTACAGCCCAGAAAGCTGATCTTCACTGGTCCCTCCCATTGTCAGAATACAGAGCTTCTTGTCATTGTCTTTAGAACCCAACCGTCCTTCTTTTGCTGGGCCTGTTATGCGAGGGGTGGCAGGGCAGCACTGTTGCTCTGCGTTAGGAAAGTACTTTCATAGGACACTTGTATTCCTCCAAAGGAATGATAGGCCCTGCTTTGTATCAGCTTTTCCAAAGTGCAGCCGTGAGTGACTGAAAGATGATTTATTGCTTGGTTTTAGCACTCTGTCACATTGGTGTTCTGCTCTTTCCTGCCCCCTGGCCTATCTCTTCCAGTCTCTGACACATGAGAAAGGTGATGTGTAGTATCTGTCATGCGCTCACTTGGATAGGCCATGTGGGCATATTAAAGTAGCAAGAAAGACTTTGGCAAAAGTTGTAAGGATCAGTTTGTGTAGTGAGGAATATAATTTTAATTGAGAATTAAAGGAATGGTAGAGATGGGTTTAGTGATTTATTAGTTTTGAGCCAAAACCTTTCTAGTGTGCTAGATAATTTGTGGTACTTATTTTTGCAGTTAGAGATACTAATTTATTAGGATAATAAGGTCAGAGTCCCTGTTAGAATTAAAGTCCTCCTGACAAAAAATTGTTGTGTGGAGGTGGCCACAAAGAAAATCAGGTGAGAAAGTGTGTGAATAGCTCAGTTAAGCCATCATTGCAAGTAGCATTATAATCATAGACATCTAGCCTTTGACAGTGCATCAGCATTCAAGGACATTGCATTTGTGTAAGCATTCATAGCGTACGTGGGTCTATATGTTTTCCTCACATTTACTTCTTTTAATGTTCTAATACAACAACCTATATTATTGTCCTAATTATGTTGGGAGTTCGTGGCTAGATACTAATTACATTCTTGCTTTAAGAGTGTAATTAGATAAAAGGTCAAAGGTCAGCTTAATAAGCAACATATAAAAAATTGAGTGGACTGATCACACAAAGAGATGTTATGAGTAAAGATGAAAAAGTTAATATATGACTATGGAATTGAATATACTCTTTTAAAAGAAACATTTCTAAAATGTATGGCATAGCTTGAAGAACCGACAGCAATGCATTTCACTTGAAAGATATGTGCTTTTATGAAGAAATCAAACCATTTGTGGTTGACTTCATTGTCTACTCCATGCTAAAAATCCCAAATTGGTTAGACATTACCAGTCTCCCCAGTTATATTGTTAATGTGCTTCTTGAATACTTTTTATTTTTATAGGCAGTTCAGCTTAATTTACAACTAATAATAAATTCAAAAATCTATTTAAGCTGTAAAGTCAGTAATCCTAATCATTTAAATAAATATAAAATAAAACATATAATTACTGTTTTTTGCCTATTAGATTGAAAGATTAAACAAGTTGACGATAGCCAGTAATGAATGAGGATGTGGGAAAATTGGGAGTTTCACACACTGTTGGTGGGAATGTAAGTTTCCTTGGAGCTAAATTTAACAATGCCTATTCGATTTTAAAATGTGTGAACCCAGTGACCAAGTAATTCCACTTCTAGAAATTTGTCCTATGGAAAATATTCATACACTTGCATGGAAACTGTAGTGCAGCTTTTCTTTATAGCATTGTTTGTTATAGTGAAAAATGAAGTTCCTCACTTAGGGACTTGTTAAATTATGTATGATAGATCTCCACAGTGGAATGCCACTAAGTTGTTAAGAATACAGTGGAGCCCTAACCGGTTTGGCTCAGTGGATGGAGCGTCGGACTGTGGACTGAAGGGTCCCAGGTTCATTTCTGGTCAAGGGCACATGCTCAGATTGCAGGCTCGAGCCCCAGTAGGGGGCGTGCAGGAGGCAGCCAATCAATGATTCGCTCTCATCATTGATGTTTCTCCTTCTCCTCCCTTCCTCTCTGAAATCAATAAAAATATATTTAAATATAAGAATACAGTGGATCTCTATATGCTGATGTAGAAAGATGTCCGTTGTAAAGTTATTTTTTAAAAGTCACATTATAGAATGATATGTATAGTATATTCCTATTTTTGTAAAATGTTAAGGACTGTTATTGAGGTATTCCCTTTTTGCGGGGGAGATAACCACTTTTTATACTCTACTAGAGGCTCAGTGCACGAAATTCGTGCACGGGGTGGGGGTTGAGGTCCCTCAGCCCAGCCTGCACCCTCTTGCAATCCGGGACCTAACTGCTCGCCTACCTGCCTGCAGATCTGATTGCCCCCTAACTGCTCCCCCTGCCGGCCTGATGCCCCTAACTGCCCTCCCCTGCCAGCCTGATTGCCCCTAACCACCTCTGCTTTGGCCCCCGTCACCATGGCTTTGTCTGGAAGATGTCTGGTCTAATTAGCATATTACCCTTTTATTAGTGTAGATCGGGGTGGGCAAACTTTTTGACTCGAGGGCCACAATGGGTTTTTAAACTGGACCGGAGGACCGGAATAAAAGCATGGATGGAGTGTTTGTGTGAACTAATATAAATTCAAAGTAAACATCATTACATAAAAGGGTACGGTCTTTTTTTTTTTAGTTTTATTCATTTCAAACGGGCCGGATCCAGCCCGTGGGCCGTAGTTTGCCCACGGCTGGTGTAGATACTTCTATATTCTTTACTTTTAATAAGCATGTAAGGAATGAGTTAAGAGAGCATCTTCATGAAGGAATTTTTTTGTGCTTGTAAGGGAGAAGGAGGAGGAGGTTGGCCAGAGAAGAGAACTGATTAATTTGTGTGAGAAACATCAGTCATATTTTTGAGTCAGAAATGTCTGGAATGGCAACAAAGAGGGAACAGAGGGAAGTTGAGGCCATTTGGTGGAGGTTTCAAAGGTAATGAGAAAAAGCTTACATTTGATTTGAAAAATGATCTGTAAAATGGAGAAAATAATAGTGCCTAGTTCATTGGGTTGTGGTGAGGATTAATTAAATAATGCATATAAAATGTTAAGAACAGTGACTGACACATAGTAAGCTCAATATTAACTACTAGAGGCCCGATGCATAAAATTTGTTCAAGGGGCTCGGCCCCCGCCCACCGCTATGGCTTCATCTGGAAGGTTGTCCGGAATGACATCTGGAAGGACGTCTGGTCTAATTAGCACATTATGCTTTTATTATAGGTTATTCAATGAAAATACATTATCTTCTTTTTTAAAAAATTGATTTCAGAGAAGAAGGGAGAGGGAGAGATAGAAACATCAATGATGAGAGAGAATCATTGATTGGCTGCCTCCTGCACGCCCTTCACTGGGGGATCAAGCCCACAACCCGACCCGAGCATGTGCCCTGACCGAGAATCAAACCTTGACCTCCTGGTTCATAGGTTGAACTTCAACCACTGAGCCATGCTGGTCAGTCTCTATTATTGTTTGTAAGCCTGTGTTGTCTTTATTATGTACGATGATGATTCTTCAGACCCCACTGACAGATCAAGTGACTTTGGTTTTTCCAGTAGTGTGGATGGTTAGCCCAACCATTCCTGTTCTTCAGCTTTGATCCTCCCACCTACTAACACTTAGTATTAACCCTTTTCGGTCCAACATGGAGGCTGACTCGACAGACCAGGCGCTATGAGCAGGTCCAACGTCGAGCTGAGGTCGACACCGCAAACCGGTTCAACATTCAATCCCGTCAATTAATTTGGACCAGACTGTTTGAATTCCAAAAATAAAATTGAATCGCAAAGGGTTAAAGAATAAAATACTGAAGAGTTATAATTTTAGAGCGCTAGACACATGATGTCCTATGAGTTGCTATTGGTTTTGTTTACTAATATTATCATGTATACTAATTAACATTTGGGGTTTGTGAAAAAAGGGGAATAGGTAATTTGGGGGAAAAGCATCATTTTCTGTGGAATAGATATGTTACTATTCACTGAATGTGTTAATTTTGTTAGCAGTGCTGTGTAATGAGCCATATTAGCTGCAACACCTACATTGACAGCCAGCATTCGGCTTGTGAAATCTTTTAGAAAACAGAAATCTGGCAAGAAGTGTTCCTGGAGCAGTTGAAATAGTTTTTTGTGGGAAATTTCATAGAACAAATAAAGTAGAAAAATTTTTTAAAAAATTGTCTCACACTTGAGAGCCATGAGAAAAAATGTTTTAGCTGTGAACTGAAATGTGACAATGAAATTTTGTAGGGCTTTAGATTTCTTTTTGTATTTCAACTTTTTATTTAATTTTGTCATTTTAAAGAATTTCAAGATGTGTTTATATTTGATGGAAAAATTGTACGTATAAATTTTTATGCTATAAAATTAATCTGTTTTAAGAATGATGATTTTCTCATACCACAGGCAGTCCTCAGGTTACGTCAGACTCGATGTACGTCGTTTCGTGGTTACATTGCCATCTCCCATTTATTTATATAAAAAAAGTTCCATCATTTCGATGTATGTACATATGTGCTTTATGGTTTTTATTATTTATTTACCACAAGTAAAGGTCAGAAATTGTTATCTTTCTTTTAATTTTTTTTTTTTTTACTGTTTCACTTAATTACTGCTGTGTATATGCTCCATGTGAGTGACGTAGGTGCTTATTATGTAGGTGGGTTCTGACTTATGGCGAAAATCGCGTTAAGTCATGTGGTAGGAACGGATCTCCGCCATAACCTGAGGACCTACTGGAGAATATCTACACTAATAAAAGAGAAACATGGTAATTGGCGTACGACCGCTACCCTTCCCATTGGCTAATCCCCCTGTCACTCACAGAGTAGGGCCAAGATATGCAAATTAACTGGCAGCCAAGTTGGCAGCCGGCAGCCAGGCAGCTGATGCGAACAGGGAGGCTTGCTTGCTTCAGTGACAGAGAACTTCAATGTTCCCCGCCTGACTTGCCGGCCTCTCAGCTGCAACGCTAAGCAACTGTGTTGCGAATAAAGAAGCTAAAAAAAACCCAGAAACCTGCTTTACTCAGCAGAGCTTCAGCCAGCCGGACCGCAACATTGTATCAAATACAGATGGTAAACAAAGGCCAGAAACCTGTTTTCAGCAGCCGAGGCCTCAGAGCTAAAGCTGGCCCAGAATTTAAAAAAAAGAAAAAGAAAAAAAGGAGCGGTTGGGAGCTTCAGTCCCAGCCTGAAAACAGCCCTCAGTCCCTCAGCCAGACTGGCCAGGCACACCAGTGGGGACCCCCACGCTGAAGGGTGTGTGTCCAGCTGCAAACAGCCATCATCCCCTCACCCAGACTGGCCAGACACCCCAGTGGGGACCCCCACCGTGATCCAGGACACCCTTCAGGGCAACCCAGCCAGCCCCACCCGTGCACTAGGCCTCTACCCTATATAGTAAAAGGGTAATATGCCTCCCAGCACCAGGATCAGTGGAGCTGAGAGGCCTCCTGGCACCAGGATCAGTGTGACAGGGGGCAGTGCCCAAACCCCCTGATCGCCCTGCAGCTCTATGTGTGACAGTGGCGGCGCCCCAACCACCTGATCGGCCCTGCTCTGTGGGTGATAGAGGGCGGTGCCCCAACCCCCTGATCCACCCTGCCCTGAGTGTGACAGGGGGCGGTGCCCCAACTCCCCTATCGGCCCTACTCTGTGAGTGACAGTGGGGAGCTCCTCAACCCCCTGATGGGCCCTGCTCTGTGCATGACAGGGGGCAGCGCCCCAACCCCCTGATTGGCCCTGCTCTGTGCGTGACAGGGTATGGAGCCCCAGCCCCCCTGATGGGCCCTGCTCTGTGCGTGACAGGGGGTGGCGCCGCAACCTCCCCATTGACCCTGCCTTGAGTGTGACAGGGGGCAGTGCCCCAACCCCCCAATCGGTCCTACCCTGAGCGTGACTGAGGGTGGCATTGCAACCTCCCAATCCGCCCTGCTCTGTGCATGACAGGGGGCGGCGCCCCAACTCCCCAATCTGCCCTGCTCTGAGCCCGACCAGGGGCTGCACCTAGGGATTGGGCCTGCCCTCTGCCACCCGGGAGCAGGCCTAAGCCAGCAGGTCATTATCTCCCGAGGGGTCCCAGACTGCGAGATGGCACAGGCCGGGCTGAGGAACTCCCCCTCCCCCTCCCAGTGCACAAATTTTTGTGCACTGGGCCTCTAGTATACTATATTCTATTCTATAGTATATACTATATTCTAATCTAAATGACTTTCCCCTTCTACTTCCATTTGAAACCTATCTTAAAGCATATAAAACATTCTTGAGTTTTGTTTTTTTTTAAAAAAAAACCTTCAGCAGAAATAACAAGAAAAGTTTATATTTAAGCATAGTACTTGGCACTTGATGTGTTTAGTAAATTTATATGGAATAGGTCCTGCCAGTTAGCTCACTTGGTTGAAGCATCATCCCGACACGCCAAGTGCAGTTTTGATTCCCGGTCAGGGCACATATAAGAAACAACCAATGAATGCATAAATAGGTGGAACAACAAATCAATGTTTCTTTCTTCTCTTCTCTCTCTTTGAAATCAATAAATACAAATTTAAAAAAAATGAATAAGTTAATATACATAAATGAAATATTTTGAATTTGGACTTCATAGTCTGTGATTTGGGCATAGTCTAACATTGGTGAATAAAGGCCCTTTGTTCAGCCCCCTTCCTGTGCCCAATTTCCTCTCCCACTCCACAAGCACCCTTTCTAATGTGTTAGCTATATGTCTTTGATTCTATATGTATCTTTAATTCCAAAATTCCTTATTATGTCATACTACTGTGGAATTTGGCCATAGAATTCTACCTGTAAGAATGCTATAGATCTTGCTCTGATTTTTACTACTTCACTTAGCATTGATTTAAGAGCCAGGTATGTTTTTGGATGTATATTGGCTAATTGGTCCTAATTGCAGCATAGTATTCCATGGTGTGCATCTATTCCCATAGTGATGGATGCCTAGGCTACCATAAACAATGCTACCAATAAACAGTCTCGTACATGTCCATTATGGATGTGTTTCAGAATTTCTTTGTGATACAGACTCAATATTTGTGCTTTCACAGTGTTTGTGCTTTCTTTTCCTGAGGAAGCAATACAGTTTTGTAAGTGTTTTCAGTGGCATTGTGGAATAAGTATTGTTAGGTTGTTGAATGGGTGTATCAGTTTACATCCCATAGGCATGGTATTCCCCATCACCCCAGCTCCTGGTATTGTCCACATTTCTAATTTTTGCCATTTAATGATGTCTCATTTTAATTTAGATTTTCTTATTCTTAGTGAGTTTGAGCATTTCTTCATATCCTAGTTAGCTATTTCCTTTCTGTGAAGTAAGCATGAAACAATAAACATAGTAGTATATTTATTTTCTTAAGCTGGAAGAACTTTTGGTTATGTGTTATATTTTGTGAGATATTAACACATTTTCTCAGACTTCAAAAAGGAAAAAAACATCAAACTTTATATAGAAGCTTAAAGTATGTTTTCTTCCTGATGGCAAGAAATGATGAAGCAAACATTTTTAAACATTCCACTTGAAAGCTATGAAGTTATGCTACAGTTAAACCACCTATCTAATCTATTCTCATTGTCTTTATTTATGCTGAAAATTGAGAGCAAGTGTTTTTACTAGAATAGATTTGGTCAGAAAGCACTTCAGCATATTAGACTATTTAAAAGTCACCCTTGGCTCAGCCGGGATGTCTCAGTGGTTAAGCATCGACCTATGAACCAGGAGGTCATGGTTCAATTCCTGGTCAAGATACGTTCCTGGGTTGCGGGCTCGATCCCCACATGATCACCAGTGTGGGGCGTGCAGGAGGCAGGCAGTTAATGATTCCTTCTCATCATTGATGTTTCTATGTCTCTCCCCGCTCTCTGAAATCAATAAAAAT